AAAAAAAATCAATCAATGTGTATCAATCAAAATGATATACTTAAATGCAATACTTCAAAGCACAGAATCAGCATTATGCAACTGTTACAAGAATACTGTTCTTATTATGCTATAACATGAGAATCCTGATTGTTTAATGTATTAGGCACCTTGTAAATTTTCTTCTATGATCAGTTATAACAAAAATTGAAAGAAATCAAAACAAAGTGCAAAAACATATGACCACTATATATGCAACACAATTCCACATTTTAGTTTTAGACTACACTATTATAACTACTGTATTTCACTGTTATAAATAAGTGTTCTGTGAGGTGCTAATGACGGATGTTAATTTAAATTATTTAATTAACTATTTATTCAACTAATTATTTAAATACATTTAAATAGTATCTTTTATAGAAAGAGCAAGGACGGATGGCATGAGCTTGCAGAACATTATCAGAGAGTGTGGTTGTTAAAAGAGAGGTCAAGGTGCTGTGAATTGCACCCACAAAAAGGTAGCACGGGAGCTCTTACTCCTAACTTAAATATTGATGCAAAAACAAATGTCTATTTTCAGTTAATTGATCTTTGTGTCACAATAAAATACAGTATTTTGTATCTTGAAATGTTAGACATATTATGTAAATCAAATGGTAAAAGCCAAGTTCAATTCAATTCAAGGTTGACAGTACAAAATGTGTACTGTCAACCTGGAATGTATTAAGGAACAGTTTGTTGAATTTTGCAACAAGTGTTTCAGTTCATTTGAAGAATTTATCTTGACATTATCTTTATAACAAAAGGCAAGTTTAGAGAGAGTCAGAGAAACGGGAAAGAGCACAGATCATTTGTGTGGTTGGTCATTAAAACACATTAAAACACATTCATTAAAAGCTATAGATGGAGGATCAGTAGCAGGTGAAGACTTTCAAATCAGTGAATCTCTTGACACTCAGTGTGATTGTGCACATAGCCTCACTTGGAAAGTTTGCTGATCACTCTGATTAAAGCCCCATTCTCATCCTTTAGGCGCTGGTTATCTGACTTCAGCTCTGTCAAAACCTAAGAAAATCCATAAATAATTTAAATAGTAAAGTATACTACCTTAAATAATATTGTCTTCACAAAATATGAATAAGATGAATTCATTTTTTCCCCAAAAAGTAGGCCAACATTCAGAAACCAGGTGGGAAAAAATAAGTACACCTTTCCTACATTGTAAACCCTGATTTTGTTTTAATTAAACTTTTGAGTGGTCATTAATTATTCTTTCATGTTTTGTAAAAAAAAAAATGTCATTACTAAATCAAATGCTAGAGGGCTTGAATAATGTGCACTAAAATTTCTGTGATGGTAGCTGAAATTGTCCTTTCACTGTGCCAACTTCATAAAAAGTGTACAAAGCATTTTATGGGCTGCCATAGACTCCAATGTGGAAGTAGAAGAAGAAGAAGAAGAAGAAGAAGAAGAAAGCATACAATTCCAATAAGGTGCCTATACATATTTGGTGCTTGGCCCCTAAACAATAATAAGAAGTTAACATAATTCCTATAAGGTGCCTATGCACTTTATGTGCTTGTCCCCCTAATAATAATAAGACCACTGTGCCACCATGTTGCTTCAATATGGCTTCCATGCTCATTATTCTGCAACTTATAAAATGTGCGGTGAATCAAAATAGTGCATTTTGCACTATTTTATATTGTGCGCCAACAGTTAATGGTGCACAGAATTTAATGTAGTCATGAGACTCTAAATTGAGGTCATAAAAATCATAATTGTGTGTGGCATGTAGGCTATTTTATCATGCTTTTAATTCACCACTTTCCTTAGTCAAATTAAAAAATAATGGCAATATTTAGGCTAATTTGATCTCCTATAAAGAGAAGAGGACAAGCTGACCATCCATCCATCAACTACGCTTAAGCTCACCTTAAGTAAAGTTTTGCTCAGAATTAAAATTAATTCTCGAGAATTAATTAATAATTGAGAAAGAAATGTCTTAGATTAAGGTGGAAAAAATGTTTTATACCTTTAAAGGATGATACTATTAATTAACGTATAGTGTAATGTTTATGTATTTAATATTGACCTTGAATGCATTCTATAGATTTTGAGTGAAAGAACAATACCCAAATCACACATTTCAGTGAGATATTGTAGTCAAACCGTCAGATAGCAATGCTGGGCTTAATACTGCTCCTCGCATGAGCTGATAAAATGGGCTTGATGTCAGGGACTGTTTCCTTTCTGGCACCTCAGGCGCAACAGTCGTAGTAGCACTTCAGTCCGAAGTTACATGTGACAAGTCACCTAATTACTAAAGGAACTCACTTTTGCAAGCACACTACTCCCCTTACCATAACCCAGAGTCTCTTTGTTACTTTTTGCGAAGTCTTGCTCCAGCACAGGGTCTGTTAAAATTCCAAGCTTTTGATTTCTGTCTTGATTAATGTTTTGACCATTGCCTGCTTCAGTTTTATGGATTTAGTCTTGTCTAGTCTCTCTGTTTTCTATTAGGGTTTTTTGCTTGCCTTGCATTTCTGAGTATTTCCTAGACATTTGCTTGTCTGCTACTTTGGTTTTAATAAAAACCCGTAAACCTACACTTCATGTCCACTTCATGACAATGTGCATGCTTTAGTGATATAAATCTTACCTTAAGCTCTTCTTCCATCTCAGACACCCTCTTCTCCAATACCTGTTTTTCCTACACAAGAAAGAAAGAAAGAAAGAAAGAAAGAAAGAAAGAAAGAAAAAGAAATCAGCACATCCGTGTGAGGCTCCCAATTAAGAGCCACATCAACTGGCTTAAATAGCTTTTACCATATTTTCAAATGTTACTGTCTTTATTATTTAATGAGACATCATTTAAACATCCATATGGGTCAGTCAAGTGGCACAATAATTGTAAAGTTGGTTGCGTGACCGTTTTTAATTTTTCAAATTGTTTTCTTCTGAGTTACTACCTCTGTGTATTGGCATTCAAGCCACCAGTTTTTTTCCCCACTTGGTTTAACCATGATGATCATCTTTGTGTCATGGCACATAAATTTTGGTTATATAGCTGTTTACGGAAACCTCAGTATCTCGGCTCAGGAAGGTCTTAACTCCTTGGAACAAAAACTGAAAACTCTAGAACACATTACATGGTACATGTACTTACACTTCTATGACAAGAGATCTACTTTTTCATATTAGAATTATGGTAAGATCCACCATGTAAAATATGCATGTACACTCTAAATTTGGAGTTTGAGAAATTATTTTGAGTTATTTGTTTTTATCCAAATAGTGTTATGCAATCAATTTTCATTCAAAGAAATCGCAAAAGTAATATACAGCAGTGGGGACATGGTTGAGTGTCAGCAGTGGACGGAGAGGAGACGGGTCAAACCGGCAGGTAATGCATGATGATTCTCACCTGTGTCCTATTACTGCCAGGCTACTTATTTGTGTCTCTTTGTACATTCAGTAACTTGCGAGACACGCACGAACGCATGCACACCCACTCCGGGAAGCATGAATTTGAATTTGATGGAGTGAAAGCTGCGAGTCTGGAACGGACATGTTTCAGTTGAGTTGTTTTGTGTTTGTTGAGCATTTGAAAGTGCGCTATAAAGTGCAAGCTGAATAAACGTGAGCCTGGAGGTCAGCAAAAATTCCGCCGGTCTCCTGAGTGTTCCTTCACAATCTCACACACTGGGGTTCTACATTGACCTATTAAGAAGATCGACCAGTGGTTGTCCCGCAATTGACTGGTCAATCAGGATCGATGTAATGAGCACCCCTCACTTATAAATTGACCCTAATAGTGGAACTAGGAGCAATCTTGGGCAATCGTACCATACCACATACCTAATTAGGGTAAATTTATAATGGGAAGAGTTCGATTCTCAATTTTAATTTTTTTTATTAATGGGTACCTATAAGCATAATGTACATGCAGAACATGCAGTTTTGAAACTTCTCTTTATTTTGTGAAGGGGAGAAAGTGCAATATTTTTTAAACTTCCCCTCAGTTTTTGGTTGAATATCTCTCACCATATACGAACCTGAAAATTTCACAGAAATAAGTGCTGTATAGTAGCATTCTGCTGTAAAAGTTTTGAGTTTGAGCTGGTTACAGAGCTAGGGCTAGTGGAATTCTGGGGAAAAGCCTACTTTATTCATGCATTTTGAGAAATGAACAGATGTACTTATAAGAATAACAAATAATATAAACGAACAGTATTTTACAATAATTATGTTTATGATTGACATACAATAGCTTATGCTTGTCAATGAGGTCTAAAATTTTACTGCATTCGATATTGGCAACAGTGAAGCTTGATCTATTACAGGATTCTTCAAATCTGTTCAAACTCAAAAAGAGTTTAGCTCCAACCTCCAAACTCACCTGCCTGTAATTTTCTAGCAATCCTGAAGACCTGGGTTAGTTTTTTTAGGATTGGAGCTAAACTCTGCAGGACAGTGGACCTTGAGGGCCAGACTTGAAGAACCCTGATCTATCATGTTGGTACAGGGGTACAGTTGGTATGCATGAATAGATTTTATGCAAATATGGAATTAAAGTGTTCAGTTGGGTGTTTAACAAATGAAGTGTGTCAAACAGCTATGTACCGAGTGGAATCTCAAACTCAAAATACCATTATAAATTGACCCTAATAGTGGAATTGGTTTTTGTTCCAAGGAGCTAAGACCATCCTGAGCTGAGATATTGAAGTTTCCATAAACAGCTGTATAACCAAAATTTCTTGTGTGCCATGACACAAAGATGGCCATCATTTAAACAAGTGAAATAAATTTTTAAAAATGGTGGTTTTGCAATGCCAATACACAAAGGTTCTTCTTCTTCTTTCAGCTGCTCTCGTCAGGGGTCGCCACAGCTGATCACTGGTCTGCATATTTGATTTGATTTTTTTTTTTTTTTTTTACAATGGATGCCCTTCCTGACACAACCCTCCCCAATTTTATCTGGGCTTGGGACCGGCACTGGGAGTGCACTGTTGTGGTTCCCTGGCAAGGAATCGAACCCGGGCTGCGGCAGTGAGAGTGCCATGGCCTAACCACCAGTCCTCCACCCAATACATAGGGATAATCACTCAAAAAAATTTGAAAAATTAAAAATGGTCAAGCAACCTGTTTTGGACCACTTGAGATGGAATGGCTTATAAAGAAATATCATGTAAATTTAAAACATCATTTGCTTAGGCCAAACCACCAATTAAATACTGTTTGCTGAACATAAGTGAATAAATGATAAGTAAGCTCTTGTAACATATACTAAATTTATATTTATTCACTTATGTTGAAAATGAAAAATATATTGACAGTTAATACTGAAATACCATTTTTTCTGAATCAAATACACTGGACCTCTCAGGTATTCTGTCTTGCTTCTGAAACACAAACAAACCAACGAAAATAAATAAATATGAAATAACTGCTGTTCCCAGAACACTACTGGAAAAAAAGTGCAAAATAATAATAAAAAAACTAATTCTATATATTTTTTAAAATGTAATAGTAAAAGTATGTGGTTACTGGGTGATTTACAAGAAATCAGATATTGTGAAATAGAACAATAAGGCTATCAAGAAGCTAGGGAACATCCTAACCTTTATAGCCTTTATAACCTTTATTAATCCACTGTCTTTGGATTAGTGTGGTCTTACCTGTGTGACTTTGTCCAGTTGCAAGCGGAATTTAGCTAGATCCTGCTTGCTATCTTCCAGACAAGCCTTGAGCTTCTCATTTTCTGCCAGTGCCTCCTCATACAGCTAGCAAAATGAAACCACCAAGCATTGAGTCCAGTTTGTTTAGTCTATGTATCTTTAACAACAAAATGATTTGTTGTATTGTGCCTCATCAAAAATAAATCTCGTAATGACAGACATTTCTAAATGCTCATGAGCAGATATGCTTATACCTACAAAGGAATATCATTCATGAAATATATCAGTCAGGATTTAGGCCTCATCATAGCACTGAGACAGGCCTGGTTAAAGTGGTAATTGACCTACTACTGGCATCTAATCAGAGTTGTGTCTCTTTGCTTGTGTTGCTCGGCCTTAGCTATGCATAGTTATGATGACACATGTTTCAGCAAAGCCAGATGAGAGACACCAGCTTAATAAAGTTGAGGAATGTGTAAAGGACATTAGACACTGGATGCTCAGTAACATCCTTGTACTTAATTCTGACAAGACAGAAGTACTTACTTGTTCTAGGACCACAAGCAGCTTTCTGATTACATACTAACTCTGGAAGGCCTTTCAATTACATCATGTGGATCAGTAAAAAATCTTGGTGTGATTCTTGACTCCAGTCTCTCATCTGAAGCTCATGTAGGAAATATTACTAGGATAGACTTCATTTATCTTAGAAATAATGTTAAAATAAGAAACATAATGTCACCACATGATGCAGAAAAACTAGCTCATGCTTTTCTTATCTCTAGGTAACTTATCCCCTTATCTTATCCACAGTGCATTGGCTCTCAGTTAAATTTTGCACTGATTATAAAATATTATTATTGCCCTATAAAACACTGAATATTCTTGCACCAAAGTACCTGAGCAATCTTTTGGTCTTTTATGCTCCACCATGCCTACTTTGATCAAAAGGTGCAGGGTCTTTGTTGGTACCTCAAATAATGAAGGCTACAGTGGGAGAAGATCTTTCAAAAATCTTTCAAAGTGGGAGAAGGTCTTTCAAAGTCCCACAAAGCCCTGGATCAGCCTTCCAATTAGTGTTTGGGACACAGTCTCAGTGTTTAAGTCACACACACACACAAGACAGACTGAAAGTTAAAACTACATTGATGCTCATGCTCAAGTTCCTGCTAACACAATTAGCACTTTTCGACTATATGATATATATGCTACAGTAATAGAAGAAAAATTATTTATAACCAGACTATCACCCTGATGAATATGGGTTCGCTTGTGTGTCTCTCAAGGTTTCTTCGTCTTGTCACCCCAGGGAGTGTTTACTTGCCACTGTTGCATCTAGCTTGCTCATTAAGGATATATTTATAAAGTTAAAATTTTAAATTTATATCTGGATTTCTGTAAAGCTGTTTTGTGACAATGCCCATTGTTAAAAGCACAATTTAAATACATTTTAATTGAATAGATCTTGCTGCCTGAAACAAATCACACATTGTCCATATGCAGTTCATTGACTTTGGCCAACCTTGGCCAAGATTCTTTCCTCTGCACTCTTACTGAGTCCAGTACACCCTTCAAATCACCAGTGGACACTCAACTCCTCTCCTTCCCTCCCTCAGACCTCAGCATGTCTGGCAGACAGCTCATCAGCTGAAACTTAATACCAGCAAAACTGAACTGCTGTTCATCCCAAGTGATTCATCCCCATGTCAGAATCTTGCGATCTCCCTGGACAACTCTTTTATCTCACCTTTGGTCACTGCACGCAACCTTGGGGTAACCATGGACAATCAAATGTCCTTTTCCTCTCATATTGCTAATCTGACAGGCATGCCTTTCTTGTAACCTGACATATGTTACACAGTCGAGCAGTGGTAGAGGATTGGGGGAAGTGTGGTGCAGTGTGGGGAGTGATAAGAGCTTTGAGGTAAGTGGGTGCTGGTCCATTCTTGGCTTAGTATGCAAGCATCAGTGGCACTCAGAGGCACACCTGCCAGGAGCGAGCAGTGGTTCGCAATTTCTCCTTTACAACATCAGAAGGATTCATCCATTTCTACCCACACAGGCCACTCAGATGCTTGTTTAGTCCCTTGTCATTTCAAGACTGTACTACTGCAACTCGCTCCTGGCAGGTGTGCCTCTGAGTGCCAATCGACCTCTGCAACTGATCCAGAATACAGCTGCAGGACTTGTTTTCAAGTTCTCCCACATCACCCACTGCTACGCTCCTTCCACTGGCTTCCTGTAGCTACCCGCATGAGATTTAAAACACTGATGCTTGTATACAAAGCCAAGAATGGACCAGCACCCACTTACCTCAAAGCTCTTATCACTCCCCACACTGCACCACACTTCCCCCAATCCTCTACCACTGCTCGACTGGTCCCAACATATGTCAGGTTACAAGAAAGGCATGCCAAGACATCAAGACTCTTCTCTGTTCTGGCACATAGGCGGTAGAAGAACTTCCCCTAGATGTCCGAACAGCTCACTGGAAGTTTTCAAATGACGTCTAAAGACCTACCTCTTCCTGAAGTGCTTAAATTAGCACTTTTAAAAAAAATTGTTTTGTTTGCATGCTTCTCTTACTATATTACCTCCCTAACAGAGTTTTTAGACTGATGGTATTCTCAGTCTATGACCTAATATCAGGATGTATTTATTGATACAGAAGTACTTTGAAGTCTCTAAGTCACTCTGGATAAGGGCATCTGCCAAATGCCATTTGTAAATGTAAATGTAAATTTGTAAATGGGAGGGTGATGGTGAAGGAAACGAAGTGATGATTGGAGATGTGGAGGCAACTGTTGAATGTCAGGGAGAAGAAATGCAGAAGAGAAAGAAGGCAAGAAGACTGGAGCTTGTCGGAGGGGAGGTTGAAGTCTGAACTTTTCCTTAGTGATTTGTTAACTGCAGCCACTGCTCTGTTCTCTGTGGACCTGTGTGCAGCAAATTCTATAAGCAAAGCACACCTAAGAAACAGGTACAACATTTTTTTATGAGCTAGCTAAAATCAACAGACATTGCTTCAACAGCAAAAGTTACTTGGTGTTGGAAAAACCATGCGGGGCATCATTCTCATGTTTAACATTCATTTAGCATTGCACAATAATTTTACACACAAAATTAGTAAATTCTCCAAAGCAGTAGAGTTTGACCTCATAGAACTTAACATGGTTTATACAGGACCTAAAAAGTGAAGTTAATTGTTTGCTAACAAGCCTATGTGGAAGCTTTTCATCCACAAAGAATGGAACTGGGGGTTCTTCTTAACCTCCCCATTTTTGGTATACAAAACATTTACAAGCTCAAATCCATACTCATTGTAAGATTTGGGGGCAATAATATACACATCCATATTAAGACTCCACCTGTGTCAGCTTATCCAGAAGACACACCCTCTCTGTATCTCATTCCTAATTCAGACATGTGCACTACCACTAAGGATATCCAATGGGTTTGGCCAAGCAACACATTCATTTATATGGCTGCACACCTCTGAGGCCTAAAAGCAGGAGCCAGTTATGAGAAGGGATCCATTAGGGATGATGTTAGAGAGACCAGGATGGAGAGTAGGTGACAAATCGTTCATTAACATAATTATAATTATAATGATCACATTATGACACAGCCATTAGGATGAAGCTCCCAAATCAGACTTGGGGAGCCTTCCTTGGTGCTCCTCGGGTGTCACAGCTCACCTAGATGACATTCTTTTGTACCACCTCAGGCCTTAGCGGTACGAGGGCCTTCCCCAAACTGTTGCCTCAAAGCTGTAAGCATGCAATTGTATAAGGTGTCTGTATGCTGTAGCGCTATAATTTCCCTTCACTGGAACTGAGGGACCAAGGATGTTCTCAAAACTTTGTTTGCACTCACTCACATGCCAACGCCGCACATACACTCACACACATGCATACAAACACGCACACAGCCCTGTTATATCATTTTCATCAAAATATCTACTCTTTCAAAACATTCATTACCATTTCTATTATGCCTTACTACTGATTCATGCTTGCTGGTTTATATGGTTTATGTTATTTTACTGAACCAATTTTGTGTTCAAAACTGAAGCCAAGCTACTACTGAAGAGCTTCAAACTTTCCATTAATTTCTCTGAAACTTCAGATAATTTTTAAGCCATTATTATTATTCTCAATTAAGAGTTAATTTATAATATTTGATATATGGCAATTTATATTGGTAATAATAATTAATAATAATTTTAATTATTGTTATTTATTTAAATAATAATGCCCTTTATTTTACTAATAAAGCCCTAAATATAAAATGTGCATGTAATTTTATGTACTTAATACTTGAAGACTTGAAGGATTTAAAGAAATATAAGGCTGTCACCATTATTAAGTACCTACAGAAGCTGCCAAGACGCCAAGGGAAACTCTCAA